TCCAACTTTCCGATCATTTTGGAAGGAAGCTCAATGTCCTTAACTAACTTTCCCAAACGAATCCAAAAGGCAGGGGATTTGATTAAAGTCAGGACTGCTGCTGATGTGGTTTTGGGTTGAATTTCTTTTAATGCGTCGTTTTCCTCGTCAGCTAGCTTGATCAAAACATACTTGGAGAGAAGGAGAGTTCATCGCATTGTACAAGCTAAACCAGCGTGTAGCAACAGGCATGCAGAGAGATTGAGTGACATTTGCTGTACGTCGATATTCATCAAACATTGACTTGACCATATGGTGGTTTTTGATGAACTTGATGATCTTTTCCGACTCTTTGATTGTTTTTGCAGCTTCTGTGGTACTGGCGATGTCTTTAATTAATAGATTCATGCCGTGGCCGCTACAACCACTTGCTGAGATGTGTGGGTATGTTTCTTCGATTATCTTCCATGATGACTTCATAACAGGTGCATTATCAGAAATAAAGCTGCAGAACTTTTGTGAACCAATCTTGTCGATGACTTGGATGATAGCAGCAGCAACTGCAACTGAGTTCTGAATGATTCCGGAGGTATCGATAGATGAATAAAAAATAGCTTTTTGACCCGGTGCCTTCACGCAGAAATTAACGATGTGATCACCTCTGATGTTTGTCCAACCATCTGACATCAACGTTAGATTACCGTGAGATTGGATGATTTCATCGACAGCAGCAGAGCACTTATTAAAGTGCTTATCGAGCAGCGGTCCTGATAAGGTCTTTGCACTCGGCATAGCAGCTGCGTATGCTGGATTGAGCGCCTTAACGAAATCCTTGAATGCATCAGATTCAACTAGTCGTAGAGAAATGCCAGTTCTATAGAAGTAGTTTGATAATTTCATGTCAACATCTGCCTTCCATTCTCCATTTGTTGTGTCAGCTACATGTGAAAGCGATTCTTGTGAGGCTTGCATCGGTTGAGTGTGTTCATTTTGAGAGGATGTGGAAGGATGTGCTGGTGATTCTGATTTGCGTTTCGAAAACAGTCGTTTTTCTTCGAGACTGGCATTTGGACAGGATGATCTCTTGTGTGCTGCAAGACGTTCTTTGGACCACTGGACACGTTTATCACATAATTTGCACTTGCCATAAGTAGTTTGACGATTGTAGTCGGTTAAATATTTTGCGACTTCGATTTGACTCATTATAGCCTTTTTCTAACAAGAAACGATTTTCTAATTAAATGTATATGATTCGAATGTATGCAAATCATTACTTACGATAGTTTTTGAAGCAAAATAATAGAGAAAAATGAGTCAAAACTTAAATTAACTTTAAAAATATTTCAAAAGAGTGACCTTATTAAATTTAAATTTTTTGTTACCGTTTATCTACATGCGCATGTACGTGCGCACGTACATGCGCATGTATGCGCATTTTTAACATGCGCATGCATGCATGCATGTAAATTTCCGAACCCTATATTTACTTGAAAACAACAGAAGGACCTGAAGGCCACTAACACTGAGTATACATTAATAAAATTCTTTTTACCGAAATGTTAAATCATATCAAGTGCTGGATAAGTTAGAACAAAATTGTATTAACTTGAACAAAGCAGTACAGCAAGACGTTTCTTAAACATCAAGACAGACATTTATAAAGCACTTATTACTTTTAAAGTTCATTCTTTGTTCAAACAACATTATTAATTCCAAACATTTATTAAAGTAGAAGAGCATCTAGAAAAAATCAAGCGGATATTCAAATATTATTAAAAATTTAAGGAACTTTCACATATCACTTAAACAACGTTATAAAAAAGTACTTTATAAAAAGTATAGCATTATGAAAAACGTTATGTAAAAACGCGCGTTAATTTTAAAATCAACCAATAAAAAACTTTTATTGGTTAATTTTAAAATTAACGCGTGTTTTTATGTTTTCCATTAGTTACGTTTTTCATAATGCTAAACTTTTAATACGATACGTTTTCATAAAGTTGTTTGTCACGTTTTTCAAGTTACATTAGTTTTACATTTAAGTTACATTAGTTTTAATATTATTTGAACATTCACTTTATTCTAGATATTTTTCTACTTCAATTAAAATTTGGGAATACTAACGTTGCTTGAACAAAGAATGAATTTTAAAAGTTATAAGTGCGTTATAAAAGTAATAACACTATTATAGTGTTATTACTTTTGAAATGCAGTTAGTGACTAGAGTGTTATTACTTTTGTAATCGTTAGTTTATTGTTTTATTTTTTATTTTTTTGCTAACAAATTTAAGTTGATTCTCCTCTTAAAAACAAGGAACACGGTTTTGTATAAACTAAAACTTTGAATACTAGATATTTTTCAGATTTTGCGTTTTGCATTCGCTTAATTCAACCCTTGTTGTTACATTAAAATTATACAAATAAATTTTACAAACACATAGCAATTTGTACTATTGCTATCTTCTTAAAAAAAAATTAAGAAAACAAAAATCATTCTTATTATTGTAGACTTCAAACTGTTTTTTTTGTGCTTTGCCTTATCTAACTTTGTTGCTGAATGTAACTCTAGAGAAACAAAAATAAAAACAGTACACAAATTATTTAAATTATTAATTTGTTTTTATTATTTTCTATTTCAATCTCTTTTTATTTTGTTAGTTTTGGTTTTTTTGTTTTTGAAACTTTTTCAGCATTATTATAAAACTTGCAAACGGCCGTGTTCACACTTTCTAAAATATTATAATCGCGTGTGGTCATACAAGACGAAAAACAGCATGCCTTTCATGGGAAGCTTTGATATATATATATATATATATATATATATATATATATATATATATATATATATATATATATATATATATATATACTATATATATATATATATATATATATATATATATATATATATATATATATATATATATATATATATATATATATATATATATATATATCAGGGGCTATTCTAGACTCTTTTTAATAGCGTCTATTGTATTTGGGCGCCGCCCAAATTAAAATTTGAGAACTTTTTTTTTTCTTCCGTTAAGTCGAACTATGACAGAAATGAAATATTAGTTCGAGTTGAGGCGATTTTTAAATTTATTAAATGTACACTATTATGGTAATAAAAAGTGTGAACAAAGTTCAGTGAAAGATGCTACGTATATCCCCTTGTATTAGCTTTTCTGATAATTTCTTTTCCATAATCAAGTTTATTTAGTTTATACATTTATGAATACAATCCCCATTGCCACTGAATATCATGTAGTACTTCCAGGGCTTGACATACATCACCCGATTGAGGGGAAGTTGATTCGATCTACAATCTCTTAATACAAAATCTACATCATTATCTTCATCTTTTTCAGCCTCAAAATTTTCTTCTCCTAAAACGTCTGATATAATCTCCTCATCATTATAATCTGATATAATCATTCATTATCGGCTTGGCAGTGTTGACAAAATCATCCATGAACACAAAATCTTTTGCTGTTGTTCCTTTAAGGAAGAACTCAGATGTATGGACAGCAAGCTTTTCTAACTGGTCTTTGAGATCCTCAAAGGGATCATCCACATCTACCGAGGCGTCAAAACACATTTTCTCTGAAATTCCAGCTTTAGCAACACAATTGCAAATAGTTTTGGTCTTCACCTTTCCCCAAGCAACATCAAGCATTTGCATGGCATTCATTATAGTATATTCCGGAAGAGGGCTTTTTTTTTATCTATTACACCTATTAATTTTTGAACAGATAGTGTTCTATAGGGATAGCTTCATCCAGGGTTGGTATTAAAAAACCTGCTCAAAAAACCCCGCCTATTAAAACTGGCTTAAAAAAACCCAATAAAACCCGGGCAATCTGGATTTTATTGGGTTTTTTTTAAGATACAGTAAACGAATGAGACTTAGCTGAATGATGAGTAAAACGAGTATGAATTTTAGTTGATGGAACTAGAGATGATAACTCCTTTGAGCAGTGACTATGATAGTATTTTTATTCGTTTACTCCCATCTTCATGTTTTTCTGGCTCATACAACCTTCAACTTTTCAAGTCTTCTGTCAACCGTTTCCTTGCTCTATAACTTTGTTCTTTTTTTTCCTAGTAACTCCCAACTTAATAGTGGTTGCTTGCAGCCTTGTTGGGAATTATCAACTATTATTTTTAACTAAATTATTATTAACTGTTATTATTAATTATTATAACCAACAATAACAGCTATCAGAGAAGATTTACTAAAATTTGAAACATTATTTGAAAATATATTAAGCCAGGTGAATAAAATTGAACAATTGCTTTTATTCCGAGTTTTTGGAGTAATTACTGCAATTACATGAAACAAATTTTTAGCAATTGCTTTTTTTGCGAACGAAAGCTTTTACTTTTACAATTGCTCATATAAGAGAAAAAGGTGTGAATAAAAAAACTTTAACTTATAAAATGGCGATCAATTGCTTCAAATTTTACTAGCACCTATAATAGTTGTTTTTTGTTTTATTTTTTGATAATTGAACATTCATTTGATTATTTTACTACTTTATTTTACTATTTTTTGACTTTATATATATATATATATATATATATATATATATATATATATATATATATATATATATATATATATATATATATATATATATATATATATATATATATATATATATATATATATATATATATATATATATATATATATATATATAAGGGCTTGAATTAAGCTATTGCCAATTGTGATATTTGGAAATGTTTATGGTCTTTAAATTTTTAGCTTTTTAAAAACCGTAAAACTGTTTTGATTAGTTAATAAAAACTATTGAGTTTAGTACTTAATAGCTGTTAATAGCTATAACTTTTTTTATTATAAAGGATTATGTATATAGTGCTTGAAATGAAATGATAATTTCAAATAAAAAGACCTAAAGATAAAGTTAAATAAAGCATTGCCTTAATATTATTGCAAAAAAAATTTTTTTGTAATCTTTAAAAGCTAAAAACCTTAATAATATAGAAAAATATACCAAAAGATTTTCTTTTTGAAAGGGGTGATAGTTGCAATGCATTATTAATTGAAGAACGTTTTCTTTTGACAGATTGAAACAATTTTACAGGACCAGTCTAAAGATAAATTTGATTGGACTTGTCAGTGATGCTATTAAACTAAGCAAAAATTTTATATACATAAATAGGGGTCGAAATAAGCGCCAGACATAAGCTTGCCCCCTAACTATTTTTGAGGTCCTTCTAAGGAGGGCAACCAACCATTTTTTCACTCAAAATGAATAATGATTGGTTGCTCTCTTCTAGCAGATCTGAAGAATGGTCCAGGGGCAGCAATGTTCAGCACCTATTTCAAACCCTGCACATAAAAAAAATACTATATAAAGAGTTAGCAACATAGATATCATTTTAGTTTAGTGAAAACACATTTATAAACATAATGAATAAACATGAAAAAATTGATTGATAAAATAATTTTAACCTTGAGCCAAATAAAAACCCAAAAAATATTTTGAATATTACAAATAATGTTGTGCTGAATTTAGCAAAACAATATTTTTTTAAATGTTTGTTACTTGTTTGGAATATTTACGCAGAGTTACTAGGTAGCATCTGCTTAAACTCAAACCCTCATTCTATGTATGTACTAAAGTCCTATCTGTTATATATTTCAGACATACACATTTGATTGTGGCTATTTCAAAAAACATTTCAAAAACACGCTGAATGAAAAATATTTTAAATTATATCTTAGAAAAACAAATTGAAATTGAAATTACTAAACTAATGTTTTTATATTAGCGAAACACTTTTTAAATAAAGTAACAATTTACTGATAATAATTTTTTTTTTTTAATATTACTGACAATTGTATATAATTTTTTAAATTTATATAAATTATTTGTGTGCATTTTTTATAATAAACGTTATTAAAAATTAAAAAATTATTTTGTTTTTTAAAGAATGACTTTCTTATACAACGAAAGTCTCATCAATGAAACTTTTATAAGAATTATTAAAGTTAATACATTTAAAAAGATGAAAAAAAATTTGTTGGAAAAAAAAGACAAATGCTTTTGAAAGCTGTTACAATTAAATAAGTTTGACCTTTAATGCTTTTATATTATTGAAATGCTTTTTAATAAAGTAACAAAACACTTCGATTGAATTTTTATATAAAGTATTAATGAACTGTTTATTTTTTTATTTATATAATTATGTTTTTTTTTATAAATGTTAATCTTTTAAAACAAAAAAATATATATATATACGTTAAAACAAAGTAAGAAATAGTTTTTTAAAGTGTAATTATTTACTAGTGTGTATTTTTTACATTGAAACTAATACTTTTAAATTTGTAAAAAAACACAATTTAAATTAAGTGTGAGTATTTTTAAACAATCTTCAGAAGTAAATTGTTCTTCTTATTTAAGGGTTTCCCATAATATTATATAAACAATAATTTTTATTGTGTGACTTTAGTTAAATTTTTTTTATTTTCTCTTTTGTTGAGATTTATTTTATTTTTTTAAATAAAGATTTTTTTAGATAAGTCTAGGTAAGTTTTTTTAGCACATTTTGAAATTTGGAAAACATGTTAAAAGCCATGGTTAAACCATCATTATTTATGTGGTCACATAGCGGCGTATATATATATATATATATATATATATATATATATATATATATATATATATATATATATATATATATATATATATATATATATAATCAAATTTGAATTAAGTTGTGCATAAAACTATATAGAGATATAGAAATAGCTGTTTGTGGGGACTTAAGTGATATCCATAATTGAGATTTGATTTTAGCAGGCAGTACATACCTATGCATGTCCATTATGCATGTCACAAAACCAAATAGCTTGTGACAATATTTTTTGCATCAAGACTAGAGATATGTATTATTATTAAAGTTTATGTTAAAATTATGTTTAACTGTTTAAATCTTTAACAGTTACAGTTAAATTACTATCAAAGTATTATTTTATTGTTTGAAGATTTTTTTGTTTTAGTTTAATTAAAAACTAATACTTAACCAAAAGATAATTTTTAAAACTTAAAACAGAAATTGTAAATGTTCAAAGAAAATTAAACATACAACATATTTTATAAAATCAAATTTTCTAAAATTTTTTACGAAAACCACACAAACAACATTTTTTAACAACTTTTTTTAAATTATTTTAGTCTAAAATAATGCTTGAAAGATTAACCGAGTAGTGACTCCCTCCGCTTATCTAAAATCATCAATTATTTCATTATGTACCTATCAAATAAGGCAAGCTCTATATAAAACATCAATGCATTTCTCACTGAAACGAAATAATACCATTTATAAAAAAAATGAATTTAACTAAATACCCTTTTATTGCCAACATTCTTTTTCTCAATCGAAACCAAATTTAAAAATTTTTATTTGAGTATATATTTAATTAATATTATTTTTATCTTTTTTTATTATTGCTTTTTTTTATATTACTGTATTTATAAAATTATTATTACTTTTATTTTATACTGTCTTTTTTAAATCTACTACTATTATTAAACAATATATGTATACAAGCATTAATTTACGTTTGTTTTATAAATCTTATTAATGTTGTTTACAATGATAGTGATAGTGTTTCCATTATATTTCCAGTAATTGTTGGTAATTTTTGCAATTGTTATGTTTATTTTGATAATTTCTATCATTTGTTATAAACTTTACTATAATTATTTTTACCATATTTTTTATCATTAGTTATAATTTTTAGTAAAGTTATCATGTTTTAGTTAATTTGTAATGTTTTTTTATTAATATTATTATTATTTTTATTATATCATTATTGCATTTATTAATATTATCTTTATTTATTAGTGCTTTATTTTATTTTATTTCTTTTTTTTTTATTCTTATTATGTTTTATTTATAGTTTTTTTTTGTTTTTTTTTAAAGGTGTTACTCCATTGACTAGTTTCTAACTATATGAGTGACACCTAACCTTATTTATATGAGTTTAAAAAATATTATTATAAATTTTTCATATTTTATGGTTAAAATAAATGGATTAATATTTAATTACTATTTGAATCATTCTAATCATGAAAATAATATCAAAATTGTCTTATAATTTAAATATAATTATAATAAAAATATAAATATAATTAAAATCTTTGTAATGCATCTTCACCATTTATATTTTTATACAAAATTAAAGATTTTGTTAAAAATCTTCAATTTTGTAATTTTATATCTAGTCACCCAAGATATAGTATAACTGTAAAACTTACAGTAGAAAAAATAGCTAAGATAAAGAAAGTTAATTTTAATATATACAGTCTAATAAACCAAAATAAATATAAAGTAGCAACAGATACAAACACTTGTAAAATACTGGACTTTTTGTTATCAGTTACTGCTCTTGGGATCTGAATGTTGTTCTCTTTTATGTTAAAAAATATCAATTGTAAAAAAAAATGTCTGTTCTGTTCATATATACTCATATTGAATGCATGTGTAGCCCAGTAAAAAGATACAAAGTTTTTTTTAATCATTACCAGGCTAGTCAATAAGTTTCTAGAATCACACATAAATGGCAGTAATAGGTCTGCCATTTTATTTTTCTAACATTGGTACTACTTTTGTATGCATTGAACATGTGCAAAGTTTCATGTAGATTAGTGGATTAGTCTTATATTTACAGCTGTTTAGGGTAGAAGTGTCACAGTGTTTATTTAATATGGAAAAAATCAAGTATTAAGCAGTGATTGAATTCCTATTTTAGAAAGGTGTATAATCAAAACAGATTCATGAACGATTGTTAGCATCAGCTTTTTGGGATGCAAAAGGAATTTTGTTGGTGGATTACCTCCAAACCGGTAAAACAATCAATTCTGATTATTACTGCAGCCTTTTGGACCAATTGGATAAAAAAATTTGTGAAAAAAGACCCAATTTGCAGAAGAGAAAAATCATTTTTCATCAGGATAATGCACCTGCCCACACAGTTAAAAAAACCATCACCAAAATTACTGAATTGAAGTACGAACTGCTGCAGCATCTACCCTATTCGCCAGATTTATTTCCCTCTGACTTCTGACTGTTCTCACATTTTAAAAAATTCATGCGTGGACAGCATTTTTCATTAAACGAAGAAGTGATAGCAGCTGTGGAGGGTTATTTTGCAGGCCTTGAGGAGAATCACTATAGGAATGGTATTCACAAATTGGAGGAATGTTTGAATAAATGTATTGAGCTTCTGGGAGAACATACTGAATAATAATATGCTTTTCAAACCATAAAATTGTGTTTTTCATTTCTATTCTAGAAACTTATTGACTGACCTGGTAGATAAATAAATAAAACATTTTTCAATAAAATATATATTAGTGTATTACTAGCATTGCAAGTTTCATACAAGTAGTAGGATAAAGTAAACTAGTAAACTATGAATTTTATATGTGATTGCTCAATTTTTATTCATTTATTAGATTACTGTAAAAGACACATATTTAATAGAAAAAATTTGATTCAATCGGACCATTTTAACTAAGTTCAATTGATTATAAATGGTCCAGAAAAAAATCTTCAATAAAAAAAACATAAATTTAAATACAAATATTTTAAACAAACCACTGTTGTTTAAAATATTTGAATCAGAGTTAAAAATAAAACTTGGACAAAAATATTACACATTAAGCATGTAATCTTCAAGTCCACAAATCATTTTGCAGGATTAATAGAAATAATGGGTAATATCAATAATGACCTTCATATGAATATTGCATGGAAATTAACGCATACAATATGAGTGTTAAATACTAAAATTGGAAAATCGGTCCCCTTAACCTTTCTATTTGCTTAAAATTGGCAATAAGACTTTGAAAGTATGTATTCAATAACGTTTGTAGAACTATAAACTAGCTTATTTTGTAAAAAAAGTCAAAAATGATATTTTTAACCTTAAGGCGTTTTGAAAAATGACTGCAGATACAACAAATATGTTAAAATGAGATAATTTGACACAAAGTTTAAAATCTCTTAACAGAAGCCACTAAACCAAAAAAATTAAAAATAATTGCTTAAAAAGATTATTATAATGAAATTTTTTATTT